GGATTCTTATTGATCAAAGATGAAATATTTCAAAATCAATATTTTCTGTAAAGTATTTTCCATTAAGATGATTATCTGAGATGCACACCAGACTCTTGGCTTGTTCCCAGTATAGTCATTAGAATTTATAAAATGACGGTTTCACTTGTGTTGCCACAGTGTCTGAGTGATCTTTGAATATTTTACATTACGTACTTTCTAGGTTAGTTGTATTTAGCATGCACCCAAAGCAGAATTCCAACAGCAATGCATTTATGGCTGTAAGGAAAAATATTAGCTTTAGAGTTAACTGTTTAACACATCAACTTTTGATCATTATATTTATAACTCAAATTATTATATTTATAACTTGAATCAATAACGATCAGGAGGTGCCGGTTAGTTGTGTTCCACTGGTGATTCCGCTGGTTACGGACAGTTTTCTCACTATCCGCGCATTTTCACAAGCCCAAATACCTCTCAATAGACTCTATATAGTGAGTTCTAACAATATTACGAAGGCTGAATGCCACTTTAACTTTCAGGTTTGATTTTTGGTCAAGTTTAAATACTCCAAATTAAGTCTTCCTTTTTGCTGACAATGTACATGTAACTATAATAAAGGAAGTCAGTGTCAAGTTTTTTGAGCCAAACTCAAGAAATCCTTTTTATATATCACCTTCCCGTCAATTGTTAGATTAGCTGAATGTCATTTTTTAATCAGTATGCAAAACTATACATTGTTCCAGAAGATATTTTAACAGTTAAAATTCAACTGATTTCATATCAAACATAAAAATTTAATTAGGTCTGAAAAAAATGCCCTCTGCTTCCTGAAAAGGTCATGATGAAAAAGAATCAGGCAACACATTCCATAAATAATATTCCACTTATCAGTGAGGTGTAATAAAATATATTGTGAATCATTCACGACTCTGCCACATACCTGTATACCCTTCGGCAAAGAATAAAATGAAAACTACTACAGGAATGATAAATCTGTAGTTATAGTGTTATCCCAATAGTGTATTCAAGCAAACATTATGCTTTTCAGTAAACACAAGTGTAGTCCCATGTTAGGTAATGCTTTGTTGACTTCTATCGGTAATCAGATCGTAGTTAGTTATTTATCAACGTTGGTAGAATTAGAAACTGAGGTTTTCATATTTAAAATGTTTGTGAATCATTCAGAATGAATTCTAAATGATCAATAGGTTATTATATTAAATTTCAAGTATGAACTATTTTATTTGACGCATCCTCATCAATCTGAGTCTTTGAACTGAAAATTGTATCTCGAATTTGATAAAAAAAGAATTACATGGTCTGTATTACACCAGTCAGTACACTTAGCAAAGCACAGAAATGCCCAATCTACACATGCATTACCAAAACTGTTGGTGTTTTTCAGATGCATATGAGAAAACTATGTGTTTCGTAGATTGCATATACTGGTAGTATGAAAACAACTTTAGGGTGCTACTAATATGCATGTCACAAAAGATAATACTGTTTTATTCTACAGCAGTAGGAAACTGCACCTTATAGCAGTGAGATAATGGAGTGTCTAAATAATAGTTTGGGCTTTCTACTTCAGTAAAAGTTGATGCATGTACTGTTACATCTTTATTCAAATTCAAATGTTATTAAATACAGGGGGGGTTGAATTGTTCAATCAGTTTGGAAAGTATGAGACAATTAACCATCCATGTGGAACTACATGTAGAGACAGAAATATAGTATTTTGTTCCTCTTATAGTGGAGACAGTGTACTTAAATGTTTATTATGATTGAATTTTATTCTACACTTATAAATTGTCACTTGTACAGTATTTTATTACATTTCTGTGAGACAATTTATCTCATGAGAGTAAAAAACCTGTGACAAAAAATTAAACCATGAGGCAAATGTATCATGTCTCGCATCTGGTAAGAATACTGAGTGTCTGATTATGTCAGACAGGATTATATTTCAAGTAACATTCTTATTTAACTGTCCATGAAGAGAAGATGATTGATTTATTGAATGTGTACTTTGGGTAAATACATGTATGAGCTTATAAACCCCTGGACATGCTATACATGTAGAAGCTTATAAACCCCTGGACATGCTATACATGCGAATAGTAGAATATATGGTACATTCAGGAAATACTTTTGAGTCATTTCTAATAAACACACATTTATAAATTATTACTGCATTGTATGTACTGTGATACATGATTTATGTGATAAAATAATGCTTCTGGGTCTGGTTTAATAGTAGGATTTGATATATAGGAACTACTGTAATTTACTTTTTATTTTACCACATTCTGTCATACTTTCCTCACCAATATTCGATGTGTTAAATTAGGGTAGGATGAACAAGGCTGAAAATAAAATTGCTTTTTGAAGTTCTGAAATCAAGACGTCAAATGCAATCAAAGACCAGAATGCTCCTCACTCGCCTGGGACGGGTATTTTTTGTCTGATTATCTCTTTATTTAAAAGTGGATATCTGAAGAGTTTGGTAACACCACATAGTTTAAAGTGCATTTGCATTGATGTATGCACCAAGCCAGCAAGGTCCTCGGGAGAGTATCTGTGAATCTGGAGTGCACACTAAGTCTCAGCCTTGTGCTAGGGCATTCTAGACATTGTGAAAAAGTAGTGGATTCAACCATTGCATTTGTTACAGACGAACACTGAGTTGCCGCCATCAAAAAAACTTTTAGAGGCAACCAATAACTAGTCCATGAAAATTAAGCTAGTCTAGAAGAAGAACAAATATGCATGGCAACGGAGGCAGTATGTGAAGTTATACCGGTCACTGGTAGCATAGTGGTTGTCGCATCAGAGTCATGATCGGTAGACCCAAGTTCAAATCCTACCTTAGGCTGAACATCAAAGGGTCGACCCCTACCCTGGGTGAGTGTGCCACAGACTCAATGGGAAGGCCAATTCCACTGGCCGAGATTCATTCAACAACGAATGCGACTTTGGGGGAACCTTTGTTAAGGTCCGCAGGTGCTTGTGTTCGACCGAGCCTGGTTTACGCCAGGATAGCGCATTAAAAAAATGACATTTGACAGAGAGATGGCCACACAGCCCTGTCATGTAGTCCCAAACATGAATATGACTTCTGTGGCAAAATGCACTGTGTCAGCACTAGCACTTGTAATTTGCACGTACAAAAAAAAATGTTGAGAGAGACAACAGTGACACTCAATGTCAAGAACTCTCGCCTGGCACAAAAATATTTTAAAAATTAAAAATAAAAATAAAAGTTTTCGCTATCTTTAAATCAGAGCGTTGTGGTACTTCTATTCCCCAACCACCAGCCGTTTTTTTGTAGAGAAGGTGATGAGAGATGTTGAACAGTGTATGGAGTCACATACCTGGTCACCTTCTATCGGCAAGAGTTATGACAGGTGGTCGGCATTTTACATCACAGTACCGATCAGATACATGTACCTCCACAAGTTCCCCAAATGCGTACGAGTAGAACAATAACTACACCATTACTGGTGATGAACCAAAAGGCAGTACACTGAGCTGTATAATTCAGTACCACTTATAAGATGAAAGGAACCTAGTTTTACCATCGGAGACTGCCTAACCTCAAGGGGTGGAATGCTTTCCATAAATTGTCTGATTCCCAGGTCAGGATATTGGATGATAGTACTCAGGTCTTCTTGAGGGTGCTGTTCTATGTGCTTGATATGGTGGCCGTATATTATTATTCTGATTGAAGACTCAAAGATGGCACAAGATCAGACTTTGCAAAAATTTGGTTCTTGTTGTAACCGTGGATTTAAAACAGAATGTCACTGCCCCAGTACACAACTTTTTTACTTGATAATCGGGATGCTATTTGGACCACCCCTCCTCAAGCACTTGCTATTTTGAGAGCCTCAACCAAAGGAGCTTTAATACTCGTAATGTTTGCCCGAATCAGGCTTACTTGGCACACAAGCGACAATGCAATGACAGGAGGTGTTCTCAATATAGTAATTCAAAGACGACTAGATATGAACACTCACCAGTGACAATCTGGCTGTGAGTGTGAGGGTAGTATGGAGGTGAACATAGTCAGGGTCAGGACTCTGCATCGGGTGACAATACACCTTATCAATATTTTTGAAGTTTCAGTTCACTCAGAAGGCACAAATTCATAGATTTCAGTAGTTGATCATAGATCTAAGCCGACTAAATCAGTACATCCCTACAGATCACTTCAAGATGCAACTCCGGCCAATGTACATATCTGCATGTGCTGATTCAGCCCAAAAGCAGATGATAACTAAACACAAAAAACAAATGCAAAGAACTATTTTTTCATGTATCACTTTTGGTCATTTGACCCATTGTTCTGGCATATGCTACTTTGTCTATGCTTAAAACATGGTCAGGGAAATAAAGTCTTTTGGTGACGACGCTGTTCATTCTTTATTAATATTCTAATATCTTGCTACCAGTGTCTGTACTGT